CTTAGTGCTGAGAGTTAACCAGTTGTGACCTCTGACCTACTTAGTGCTGAGAGTTAAGAGGTTGTGACCTCTGGTCTTATGGTAAATGATTACTGCTGTTGTATATGTGTTCCAGCATAGCTATGCATGCCTACACTTATGCTACAACAACCTTTGAAGACGGTTGGTCCCAAGCGCTGGCTGGATCTTCCCCGCCTCCTATTGCATGCCAGAATTCTGTCCCCCCCCCTCTCACCCCAGCGCAGATTTTGACCAATCCTTCTGCGCCCTCCTTTGGGGGCCCCTTTGCCTGATCCTTGCAGGGGGGGCTGTCAAGCAGCAGCCCTAAAGCCCCCCCACCCTCACCCCATTGTTCTGCCTCACCTGACTGTGCAGGGATGCAGCCAGGCCCTCCGCAGAGAAGCCCCTCCCCACGGCAGGCTTGGGCCCCGCCAGGTGGCCCTTTTCATCCGGGGCTCCAAAAGATGACAAAAGCGGGCCAAATCTCAACCGGTGTAGAGTATTTTCTTTGCAAGCAACCCTTGGGGGAGGCGGTGGGGACGCCAATTGGTTTACATGCCCCTCTTTCAGTGCTCCGGCTGCAGAGGACAGAGCGGGAGAGGCCTGTGGAGAAACACGTGGAGGGGACCCCCTGTGACAGCCGCCCATCTCCAAACTACGGACAGGATCATTTGTGGTAGGCTGAGCGCACAAGGACTGCAGCACCCCTGCTTTATTCTCCTGGGGTCCAGAGACACCTCCCCCCCTCCCTCCCTCCCTCCTGAGATCCCTGAGAAACCCAGCCTGCCGAGCCAGGGGGGCCAGGGGGGGGGGATGGCCAGAGGGGTGGAGGGCTGACATTCTGAAGCAGCCTTGCAGAACAGCCGATGGTCACACTCGTCCCTCTGAGGAGGCACCCTCTGCCCTGCCCAGCCAGCCTGCCAACCAAAAAGGCTGCACAAATGAAAGGGGGGACCCTCCATTGCCACAGCCAAAGCCTGGCAGCACCCAACGCCCCCCCCCCCCCGTGGGGGACGGGGTCCAAGCCTCGCCCTCTGCAGCCTGCTGGTAAAGGAAAGGGGTTCAGGTGACGCAGCAGAGCCTTGCTGGGCTCCCCCAGGGAAGCAGAGGCTCATGGGACACAAGGAAGGAGGAGCATCCTTCCCCCCCCCCCCAGCAAATAGAGGCCTCCAATCCAGTCAAGGGGGGGGCTGTGCCTCAATTAACCAGGTTGGAGGGGGGCCAGATGGAAAGTTCTTCTGACGATAGAAAGAAGATGCAGGTAGTGAATACCTGGCCTGCCCCCCTTTGGCCTGTGGGCCCCAGGAGCCTGGCCAGACGGGGGGAAGGAAATGGGCCCCTTGGAAACCAGTTCCAAGCAGGCCCTCTCCCCAGCCTCCCCCCTCCCTGAGCCCCAGGCTGCCCCCATCCCCTCCGTGGCCGGGCCTTCCTGAGCAGGAGGGGGGCAGGGGGGGGGGCTGCTGAAGCCGGTGCCGTTTCTGCCAAGCGAGCAGTTCAGCTCCAGACCCAGAAGGGGGGAAAGGCCCTTTTCCTACCTGCTAAATCACAATACTTCCATATATGCACAATAAATAGTTTGTCGATACACAAAATTGCCACGGCTCAATCCATCGGGGCTGGCTTATCACCCCTCTCTCTGCTTGAAGAGAAAGAGAAGAAAAAGCACCCCCCCCACACACACACACGGACAAAGGCTGGAGGTGGGTGGGTGGGCAGGGGGCCAATGAACCCCCACAGTGAGCCCTCTGGGGAGGTAGGGGGGCGTTTAGTGCTTCTTTTGGGAAAACGGCTTTCTGATGCTCTCAGCAGCCGGGGGGGGGTGGTGGTGTCAGGGCCTCCCCCTTAACAGTCAGACCCTCTTCTGAGTTGGGGGGGAGGGGAGGCCGCTCCTGGCTCCTCCCACTGCCGCTGCTATCTCTCGCCTGAGGAGCTGAGCCGCTGCCTTGGGCTGAGCTGATAGGCCATGGAAGGGTCTTTATCGGGTGGCACAGAGGGCCAGGCTGAGGAGATACAGTTCTGACTTTCCCCCCCCCCTCCTCCGCAGATGCCCTCCTGCCAGCCTGGCAAGATGCCTGCGCCGTGGCGGCTCCAGCTCCTCCTTTGCGTCCTCTCCTCCATCGCGGTCTTGCCTGGCCAGGCAGAGGAGGTGAAAGTCTCCACCCAGACAGGCTGGGTGCGTGGCATCCGGATGCCCGTCCTGGACGGCCACGTCTCTGCCTTCCTGGGCATCCCCTTTGCGGAGCCTCCCGTGGGCAGGATGCGCTTCCTGCGCCCTGAGCCCATCAAGCCCTGGCAGCACGTTCTGGATGCCACCGCCTACCAGCGCGCCTGCTACCAGATGGTGGACAACAGCTTCCCGGGATTCCCTGGCACGGAGATGTGGAACCCCAACCAGGGGATGAGCGAAGACTGCCTGTACCTCAACATCTGGGTGCCCTCCCCCCGCCCCAGGGAGACCTCGGTCCTGGTCTGGATCTACGGAGGGGGCTTCTACAGCGGCTCTGCCTCCCTGGACGTCTACGACGGCCGGCTCCTGGCCTACACGCAGAACGTCATCCTGGTCTCCCTCAGCTACCGCGTGGGAGCCTTCGGGTTTTTGGGCCTCTTGGGGAGTCAGGAGGCACCGGGGAACATGGGGCTGCTGGACCAGCGCTTGGCCTTGCAGTGGATCCAGAACAACATCCAGCATTTTGGGGGCAATCCGAACGCGGTCACCATCTTCGGGGAAAGTGCCGGGGCCGCCTCCGTGGGCATGCACCTGCTCTCTGCCCAGAGCCGCACCCTCTTCCAGCGGGTCATTCTGCAGAGCGGGGCACCCAATGCGCCGTGGGCCACAGTCACACCTGCAGAAAGTCGGCGCCGCGCAATCCTTCTGGGAAAGCAGGTGGGCTGCCACTCCATCAACGATTCCGAGCTGGTCAGTTGCTTGCGCTCCAAAACCCCTCAGCAGCTGATTGACGAGGAGTTGTCCGTCCTGCCCTACAAGAGCACTTTCCGCTTCTCCTTCGTGCCGGTCATTGACGGGGACTTCTTCCCGGACACCCCCGAGGCCATGCTCAGCATGGGCAACTTCAAGCAGACCCAGGTGCTGCTGGGCGTGGTCAAGGACGAGGGCTCCTACTTCCTGATCTACGGGCTGCCCGGCTTCAGCAAGGACAACGACAGCCTCATCAACCAAGCCGACTTCCTGGAAGGGGTGCGGATGGCCGTGCCACACGGCAATGACATCGCCACGGAGGCCGTCGTGCTCCAGTACACCGACTGGCAGGACGCAGAGAACGGGGAGAAGAATCGGGATGCCATGGATGACATCGTGGGGGACCACAACGTCATCTGCCCAGTCATGCACTTTGCCACCAGCTACGCCAAGCGCGGCAACAAGGTGTACGCCTACCTGTTCGACCACCGTGCCTCCAACCTCGCCTGGCCCCCCTGGATGGGGGTGCCCCACGGCTACGAGATCGAGTTTGTCTTTGGACTGCCACTCAACGACACCCTGAACTACACGGCCCAAGAGAAGGAGCTCAGCCGCAGGATGATGCGTTACTGGGCCAACTTCGCCCGCACAGGGTAACGGGGGAACGGGGTGGGGAGGCAGCCAGCGGGTCCTGGCGCTGCAGAGGGGGGGGCTAGGGGTCAAAAGGGGGGGTCAGACAGAAACCTGGAAGACATGGCAGGAAGTAGGAGACTATAAGTGCAGGAAACAGCTGTTTGTCAAAGTAGAAATGAACGTCTGGGTGGCAAGAAGAGGCTTGTGCAGATCTTCAGGCTTGAAACTCAAATGAGGGGCAGGGCGAGGGGTCAGTTCGGGGGGCCCTCCTTCTGTTGCTCTGCTAGCTTTAGCAGCCACGCCAGAAAAGGGGACTTTTAAAATATACTTTTAAATGTTGAGACCTCATTGGAAGCCTGGTCCCTGCACATCTGCGTGAGTACAGAATACCAGAGCTGGAAGGGACATTGAAGGTCTTCTAGTCCAGCCCCCTGCTCAGGCAGGAGGCCTTGTGCCGGACATCTGGCTCTAAATTGAAGATGGAAATGGGGGCAGGCCCAGGGGGGGTTGTTCCTGGGTGCACTGGATTTGGGAATGAGAGACCCTGGCAGCCTCTTGCCTGGGGAGAAGGGCAGGCCGGGAGGGGGGAAAGTAGGATCGGGCTGTCCCACCGCCCACCAGTGGCAAAGGGCAGGAGGGAGGCCTCTGTCAACAACAGGTCCCCTTTCTGTCTCCACACAGGAGCCCCACTGACCCCACCGATAAAGACGGGGCCTGGCCCGCCTACACCACCGCCCAGCAGCAGTACGTCAAGCTGAACACCCAGCGGCTGGCCACCCAGCGCAACCTCCGTGCCCAGATCTGCGCCTTCTGGAACCACTTCCTCCCCAAACTGCTCAATGTGACAGGTGAGCCCCAGGGGGGCGGAGGGGGGTGCGGTGATGGGGAGGCCGCGTCCAAACTAGCTGAAGGTGGGGAGAGCAGCTCCAAAGCAGAGTTAGCCTCCCGCCTTCCTCTCAGCCGGGGCCTCCCGCTTTACCAGAGTTGGCAGCGCCCTCCTCCTGCAGGCCGAGACGCCTTCTGTCCCTCTCGGCCCAGCAGACCCTCTCCTCAAGCTGCAGTCCTCTACCTCTCCCACCCACCCACCCTTCTGCAGCCTTGGGTGAAGAGGCCATTGCTGGCTTCACTCGGGTAACATCCCTTGGGCTGCTCTGGCCGGGCCTCCCGCCTCCCCATCTCTCTCCCCGGCCTGCCTGGGACGCTTCATTCTCTTCTCCCTTCCAGTCTTTGCCAGCATTTACAAGGGTTCCCAACCGGGGGGGGGGCTCTTTGCTCCTCTGCTCTTGTCCTGAATGCCCCCCAGGCCTGGGTGGGTGGCAGGGAGTGGCGCTGCTCGCGTAGGGAGCCCATGGGGGGGAAACCCACCACAGCTGTGCAGGGCGCCTGTGCAAGAGCGAGAGGAAGCCAGGCTGACGGTGGGCAGGACTCCTGGAGGGGCTCTGCAGAGAGAGCAGGGAGGGGGTCCCGAGTCCCCAAAGAGCTGAAAAAGCCCCCTGGCACTTGCCCCCCCCCAGAGCCTGAGACAAATCAGTCGCTAGGACTGTCTTTAGGGAGCTCTCCCTTTCCGAAGCACCAGAGAGCGGCCTTTCCAGATTTAGCCAGGGCCTCCCGAGGGGCCTTCGTGGTAGCTGAGATGGGGGGGGGGTCTCCGAGCCAGACGCGGCACAGACAAGTGAGCACAGGAGGAAGGGGGCAGCTTCTGCGCAGCGGGGACAGCCTGCTCCGGATGCTTCTTTCAGGCCAGGCTAGGACCTGGCGGGGGGGACACTGGGCAGCGAGGGGGGTGGGATGGAGAGGACAAAGCGGGGGTGCAGAATCCACACCCAAGGCCACCCCACACGCTGAGCTATGTTCCTTCGGCTCCTGAGGATGGCAAGGTTCCAGCAGGCCCTGGGCCCCCTCCCTCCCCAGGGGGCTAAGGGGAGACCCCTGCCTGTCTTGCAGGCCACTTGAAGGCAACGGCGGATAGGGGCGAGGGGGGGAAGGGGCTGGATCCCCAGCTGGGAAACAGAAGAAGAGAGGCTGCCCCCTGCCGGCTGCATTGGGCCCAGCAGGGAGCACCCTCAGCTGCCCAGGCATTNCGCCCGCGTTAATCCTGGCCCATCTCTCCCCCCGCCCTTCCCTGGGCGTTTGCCAGGGGCCTCGCCTCCTACAGCAAGACCCCCCCCCGGTCCGGGAACCGTCTCCCCTCCCACTCGCAACCAGAGAGCGAAGCGGCTTCTTTGATTCTCCCCCAAAGTTACGAGGAAACCTGGACTCTCCCCCGCCCGGAGATTCCCCCCCGGAGTTCGACAGAGGAGGGGCCTGGGCTTCCCTCTGGCTTTGAGCCTCTAGGAACATGCAGAGCGCCCCGGCGCCCCTGATTATTCCTCCACCTGCATCCATCCCTTCCCTGGAGCAAGTCGAACCGGAGGACTGGGAGGAGGAGGAGGCGCAGCGTCGTCGGAAAGCTAGCCGGGGGGTGGAGGAAGACCCGAGACCCCCCCCCCCGAGGGGTCTCCCGTGCGGGAGGGAGGGGCAAAGGGAGCGCTGGCCGGGACCCCTGGGACTGGCAGCCATCTAGCTGTCTAGCCGCGCACTGCTCGCGTGCTGAGGGCGAGGGGTTCGGTTCTATGCCCTCACCGCTGCGAAGCTCTCCCCGGGGCCAGCAGAGCAGCTGCAGGAAGCCGAGAAGGGGGAGCCGGGGATGGCAGGGCTATTAAAAACCTGGACCGCCTGCGGCCGGACGAGGGGAGGGAGAGACTTCCAGAAGCGCCGAGACCAGCCGGCCCCCTCCCCCAGCCCTTCCACGCATGCTCCCGCTGGACACGTGCAACTGCTCGGCGCCTTGAGGGGGGGTCTCCTAGGCATCCCCACCCCCTCTCCCGAGCGGCCAAGTCCCCCGTCCTGCCAGGCCTCCCCCTCTGAGAGCATGTGGGGAAGGTAAAAGGGGGTCGGGGGGGGGGCTTCTCTGATGCTTGCAGGTCCAGGTGAGTCCGTTTTGCCAAGCAAAGGATGGCAAGTCTACTGGGGGGGGGGGTTCCTCTCCTACTGCAAGGGAAGGGGGCCCTGGCTGAAAGGGAGCCGAGGTGGGGCTTGGGGGCTGCAGGAGAAAAGGCATGGATGGAGACCTGCGTGCCTTCCTTTCTTTTATGGGGATGGGGCAGCCCAGAGCAATGGGATGCCCTGGCGGTCTCCCTCCCTTGTCCGGCCTTCCAGCCTGCCCGGCTGTTGGGCACTTTTCTCTGGGGCTCCAAGGTTGCCCCTGGCCCTGTGGGGCAACTGGGAGAATCCCCCCCCCCCCAGAGCTCGGCTCCCTGAGCAGCATTGCTGGCAGCTTCTAAACAGGCTGCTGCTGTTCCCAGGTCAAGCAGTTACACACACAAACACACACACACACACAGCCATTAAGGATGTTGTCCTTAGGTCAAATTGCAGGATGGAATTGCTGTCCACTCAGCCCTTAAAGAGACAAACCCACAAGGCCCAGACAGTGCTTGCCTGTCCCAGTGCGCGAACTGAAGCCCCCTCCTCCTCCTCCTCCTCCCTCATTTCCCCCCTGGAGGCGAGGGCAGTTTTCTCCTCTGCAGGTGGGCAATCGTGGCCCCTCTTCTTCCTGGGGAGCTTCGGCCACCTTCCATAGGAAACCTGAGAGGTGGGGGGGGGGAACCTCACCCGCTTGCCCCAAGCACAGGTGGCCTATCTCCAGCTTCTGCAAAGGGGGAATGGGGGGGGTGCACTGGACACGCCCTCTGCCCCCAAAGACTGGGGGGGGAAGCAAGTGAGACCTGTGCCTTGTGAGCTTCTCTGAGTGGTGGTGGGGGGGCTCCTCTCAGCAGCCACCCAAGAGAAGGAAGAGGGAAGCCTCGGAGACCGGAGACCGTGCCCTACCTAACTGGGTGGGGCCTCGTTTGCTGATGTGGCTCAAGCTGCAGCTGCCATATGTCACCCAAGGGCTTCACAGGAGCCCTGGGTCTGCCCCCTCACTGAAGGCTTCCCTCCCACCCTCCTTCCCTGGGCTCCCATTCTGCAGACGGCCTGAACGAGGAGAGCTGCCCGCAACTGGCAGAGGCGGCACAACCTGTGGGCACATCACCTGTGGATGGTAGGCATCTCTCATCCTTTTCAGCTCCCCGTGTGAGGCCAACGGGGGATTCCTGGCTTCATCACCAACCAACTAGGGGGCAGCCAGGGAGGCCTTGGGCCATGGGGCAGGTGTGCCACTTTGCAGCCCCACAAACCTCCGCCAAGGACTTTAGGCGCCCAGGATCAAGGGTGGGCAGCAGGGAAGGGGCTGAGCCACGAGCAAGGCTGCATAATTGGGGGTGGGGGGCGGGTGCAGAGGGCCAAAGACCCACTGCCTGTGGGGCAGGAAAGCCAGGTTCTCCCTTTGGGGCAAGAGACTACCAGGCTCCCAAGGGCCAAAGCTGGCAATGGGCAAGGCAATCCCCCCTCCCCGGCTTCCTTGCGGAGGGACAGGTGGCGTTCCCAGCCCACAAGGCAAACGCTCTCCCTTGGCCTGGCTGCTGAGGCTGGCTCAGTTTTCAGCCGCTGATCCCCTGCCGGACGGATGAGTTCCGGATGGAGGCTCCTCTGACAGGTCGGTGATGACAGGCGATGACAGCGGAGCCTTTTCCCTTCCCCCGGCCTGGCTGGGGAGGAAGCAACAGCTGCTCCCCCACCCCTGCCCGAGAAGCCACTGCTTAGACACCCCCCTCCCCCCCACAGCCTGGGCAGAGACGCCCGAGGCCTCAAGTGGGACCCCTGACGTTCTCCCTTTCAAGGCTGTGCCAGGCCAAGAGGGGCTGCTTCCCTTCCACACGCTGGGAGCCCACTGCAAACGTTCCAGCACACCCAGAGACAGACAGACACACACACACACACACACACACACACACACACAATTGTTTTGTCTTGCTGGCGCTCTCACGCTGGCATAGGAAGACTCTGCTGGTTTATTTCTGACCTGAGTTCTTTAAATAGCCGAACAGCTGCTGGGCAACTGGCCTGGNCCCACCGTGTGCCCTGAGCCTGCCCCCTCAGCAGGGATTTGTACATAATATTTATTTAAAGGGGAAATGTGGTAAATATATAGCTATATATATATATATATACATACATACATACATCTATATTTGAACTGTATATAGAAGCAGAGCTGCAGCACGTGCTGCCACAGGCGACCCCCCCTCCTTCTGCTTTCTTCCAGTCGATCCCTCCCCCGCCCGTCGCAGACGGCGTCACGCCCAGGGCTGACCGCAGCCCCCCCTCCCGCGGACTCCGGGCCTCGGGACCCGCCCGCCTGCCTCCCGCATGCCTGACCGCAGCGCGCGGAGCTCTCATCTGTGTTTAACCCCAATAAAGTGATGGATCCCGAGCGCTGGTCTCTGCCTGGCTGGGCCGAAGGGAAGGGGAAGCGGCTCGGGGGCAAACCGACGGGGCGCGGGGCTGGAGTCCGGGGCCGGCGCACCCTTCGCTACGTGCGGTGACCGGTGGAGGGCGCGGCGTGGGGGGGGGGAGAGGATTGACTCCCTCCGCCGGGTTTGCTAGGAATCCTGCTTTAAACGCGCGGGGAGGGGTGGCAGGAAGTCCTCGGGGCTCCGACGGCGCCTGCTTTTCTGCGGGGCCAAGAGGCGGAGTCTTCGGTGCGTCTCCCCTTCCTCCTCCTGCGGCTCTCCGGAGCAGCTGTATGCGGGGCTGCCGGCAGGCGACGCGCCCAATGGCTGCGCCAAAGACCTCTTGCGCTCCCCGGATGCTGGATGGGAGCTGGAGCTTGCGCTTGCGCTGAGCCGGCCTGGAGGCGGGGAGACCTCTGAAAGGGGGCCGACAAAGGGGTGGGGTCGGCTCCCCCCTCCTCTCGCCCCTGCCCTCTTCTCCGGGAAGCCCGAGGTCTTGGCCGCTGCAAAGCTGGGCTGGGGGAGCTTCGTGTGCGCCCCGTCCATCAACATCCGCAGCCTCTCGCGAAAAGCGGGAGGGGGAAAGGCCAGGCGCCAGGGAGGAGCTGGAAGAGCTGAGGAACTCGGGGGCTTTCCGGGACCTGCCAAATGCCAGCCACGCTTCCTGGCATCCCCAAGCGCCCCTTAGCTGGAGGGTGAAGGCTGGCCTTCCTGACTCAAGCTGGCTTCGCCAGTGCTCATTCACCACTGCGGCTCAAATGGGGGCCGGGGGTGGGGGCTGATCTGCCCAGCACTGGTGGTGTGGGGGGGGAAGCACTTCTCAGTCTCTGCCAGGGTCAGGTCACCAGGAGGGCCCCCTGTGGGAAAGGAGGAATTCTCTGGAAAGTCCCTGCCCTGCTGAAGCCCCCCCCCCTCCCCTTCGGTCACTTGAAAGGTTCCTTCTCTGGGGAAGGGCTGATTGGGGATATTGGGGAGGCTTTAAGAGAGTTGTAGAAAGAAAGTGGGGAGGGGGGAGCCCTAAGTCCTGGTGCTGAACCTGCACATCACAAAGGCACAAGAGGCTGATTGTGTCACTGCTGCAAAAGGGCCAGAATCTCTCCTTCCACCTGGGAATCAGATTGCTGGTTAACTGGGGGATTTTGGGGGGGGGGGGAATTTGCAGGATTATTTTTCTTTCATATGTATTTTGGGCATGTTCAAAGAACTGCTTTGTCTCTTGGCATAGCCAGAGCCCCCTGCTCCCCCCCCCCATTTTGGCATCTGTGTATTAAAGTGGAAGCCCCCTTCTCTCTTCACCCACAGAGGGGGGAGGGGGGTCCAGGAGTTGGGCTAGGTGGGAGGAGGCAGCAGCAGGGGAGGCCATGGACAGGCACTTCCTCAAACCAGCCTTGGGGGTGAGGATGGGGGGGGGCTTTCCTGTGAGTTGTGCAGATAGGGGTCACCAAGGAACTCAGGGGTTAGGCCTAGGGCTTCCCCCCTGCCACAGGATTGGCCTTTCCTGCCTCCCCCCCCCCAGTCCTTCCCATAGAGCCCCTGAAGCTGTGGGTCTGAGGGAAAAGAAAGGCGCCCAGACACGCTCGCCATGGGCCTCTGCCCACCCTCAGGGGCAGCCTGGTATTGCCCAGCCAAGCCCCAGGTGGAAGGACACCCTTGTCCCGGGGCTACTGCTGCAAATGGGGGCTCAAGCCACCTTTGCTGCCCTCTAACTCTTCCCTGCTGCCTGGAGAGGGCCAGGAATGGGGCTTGTGTGGGGAGGGGATCGGTGTGGGGGAGGGGGCTCCCTTCCGTGGGGTGGCCTGTTCCAGGCATGGCAGGAGCTGCAGCTGGTAAACCAGGCTCTGATTTCACATCGGCAGATTCGTGAGGGGAGCTAGCACACGGCTGCGTGCGCAGGCACACACACACACACACACACACAAACACACTCACAGAGACGTTTCAACACCACTGTGGCCTTGTATGTTAAGAAAACAGCCACGCAGCGCCCTCCCCAGATGGGAGCCGTGGGGGTCCAGGGCCACGGGGGGAGCCCTGCACAGGCCCGGGCTGCTTCTGGGCGCTGCTCGCAGAGACAAAGTGACCGTTTGAAATGCTGGGGGGCTGCCAAGCCAGTCGCACAAGTTGGCACCGCGACAAAGTCAGCTGGGGACGTTAAAGCTGGCGGGAGAGAGAGCCGTTGGAAAGCTTTTTTTTGCTGGGAAACGGCTGTCTGGATCCGCTCCAAATTTCACACACGTCCAGGGGGCTCCCCGGCCCCCCCTCTGAATTTTTTTCAGATTTTTTCCACCACCCCAAAGGGGTTTATTCAAGTGTAGAAAGTTGCGTAGGGGGAAAAAGGACCAGGCTTTTCTCAGTTGCCCTGTTTTTTTTTCCCCTTTCTCTCTCTGTGTCTCGCAGCACGGAAGGGGCTGGCGGCTCTTGGGGGGGGGGTGCAGGGGCACCCTCTTATTTTCCTTATTTTTTTCCCCCAATTCTGGATTCCCTGAAAAGAGGTGGCAAATCTTTGGGGCGAACTGGAAGGCGCTCCCCAACTTCCCTAGTTGGAGCAGGAAGAGGGACCAATGCTCCCTTTTTTTGGGGGTGGGGTGGGGGACCGGCTGCCCATGGATCCAGAGAGAGCCGAGTGCCAAGATCGGGTGGCAGAATGGCACAGCCCAGCCTTGGCTTGCCGTGGCTGCAATATTTTTTTTTAAGGGCTAAATTTAAGACTTCTGGAAAACCCGATCCCTGATCATCCGGAGGGGGCCAGGGTCTGCGTAGCAGGTAAGCTGGGGGGGGGGGTATACAGGGATGGGGGTGGCGTGTGTCTGGCTCAGAAGGGGTGCTAGGCCAGAGGCAGGCAGGGCTCTCGGCTCGGTGCCCAGAACGACACCCTGTACTGACTGTACAGAGAAGGCTAGCAGATCCAGCATTCACCCGTCAGAAAACGGGGGACACCGCCCCTTGCACGAACCCCCAAATGGCCTCCATGTTCCCCCACCAGGAGTCCATTGAGTGGGGAAGACGGGGGTGGAAGCAGCCTTGGAAAAACAGCCCACTCACGCCCCGAGTGGAAAGGGGGCCAAAGGAGGCCTCGGCCGTCCTTTCTCCCCCTCCGGTCAAGCCTTGTACTCAAAAATAGAAATAGGTTAACCGTTCAGGCCCCCAAATTGGCTTACAGGGTTTTCCTCCAAGGATTTGGCCCTTTTAGAACTCATCTCTTGAGTTGGGTGGGGACTTTGCCCCCTAGAAAAGCCCTGCACCCCCCCCCCATAATTTTCTTCTACGCTGGTCAGCCACTCCAAGGCCTCCCCAAACTTTGCAGCAAACTGATGCAATCGCGCCCCTTCCAGGAAGGCGGTGGGTGGGGGCGTCAGGGTTCCCACGGACGATGGCAGAAGCCCCCCTCCGCTCCTCCTGCCCCCCATCCAAGCCCTTGGGGACATGGGGGGGGCAGGGGCTGGTGCAGTGTTGCCAGCAGGGGTGAGGGGGGACTTGGGAAGCAGAATCAAGATGGCAGACGAGGCCCGGATTCTTTTTTCCCCTGGCCTACCGCCCGATTGGCCCCTCCCCATCCTATTTTTGGGGCTGGACACTCTCAGCCTGAATTTAAACCGAAACTCCAGGTGTGTTCAAAACCTCCCCCCCCCTCCCAGATCTTTGGATTGAGCAGGTTTCAGGCTGGCTTTCCCTCCACCAAGAGGCCGCAGCTGAGAAAAGGCTGCCCTTCCTTTCCTGCCCCCCCCCCTCCCCGCAACAGGGGAGAAGCAGCAGCCCATTCCTGCAAATCTCACAGGGGGGGGGGGACCCACTTGGGAACTGGGCATGGCTCTGTGGGGGGAGGGGAGAAAGACAAGAGAGTTTTGCACGTGGCCAGAGTGCAGTCCGGGGAGCCCCACCCATCAGGAGCAACCCTCCTGCCCATTGTGGGACTTGGGGGGGCGGGGAGCCAGGTCTTGGCAGCTGAGGTGACCTCATCTCTCCTGCAGAACGCCTGAGGCTTCCTCGTCCTCTGGGCTCGTGGGGGGCAAAGGGGCACCAGGCTGCAACGCATCTGCCCCCCTGGCAGGAACTGGCAGGGGGGGGGGAACGACCTTACGCTGTGTGTATGTGGGGGAGGGGGAGGGAGGGTGTCGATCCAAGCCAGCTTGGCCGCCGTCTCCATTTTCCACTCGGGAGCAGGAAGTGGGCGGCATCACTTCTCTGGCCAAGTTTGGTTTCTTCTGGCAAAGGTGGGCATCCCTGGCGTTGGGACCACCAGCTTGTCCAGCTGTCTGCCATGCCCCGGCTGCCCTGGTGACCTCCGCCCGTCCCATAGCCCCGGAGTTCAGGGGTGGTGGGGTGGAAGCAAGGGTCTCCCCACCCTGGCTGACAGGTTGTGGGGGAAATTGTGCCTCTGGGCCCCCCCTCTTCTCAGTCCTGCTGGGAAATCAAAGGAGGCGGGGGAGGGGCCGTGAAGGACCGGTGGGAGGCAGCCCAGAAAGCCGTGGGGGGGGGGGCTTCTTGGTGCAAGGCTTCCTCTGTGTCACACGCACGCACACACACACACACACAGACTTTCCAAGCTGGCGCACGCAACAGCAGCACAACATGGTTTGTTGCCAAACAGGAATCCACAACCCATTTTGTGGTGCTAACGCGAGCGGCCAGGACGCCTTCGACCCTCCCCTCCTCTCCAGGAACAAGGCGGGGCCGGGGAGGGCTCTGGGGGGGTGGGCACCCCCGGCCCACCCGCTCTGCCAGCCCAGCTCTAGCAGCACCTCAACACTGGCACCTCTGCTGCTGGCCAGCGTTCCTGGTGCTGCTGGAGAGAGGGGGGGCCCTGCCGCCAGGTCGCCCTCCTGGCCCCCAACAGACGCACCCGGGAGAGCCAAGCAGAGCACAGCAGCCTTTATTGGGCTCCAGGACAAGAAGAGGCAGAGGCCCGGGGTGGGGCGCCCCCTACCGCCAGGCCCTGCCCGAGGGAAGGAAGGAGGGAGGGCAGGGGGCAGAGGCCGGGGAGGCTCAGCGGGACAGCAGCGGCAGATCGGCTCCGCCGGGCGTCAGGAGGAATCCGGGCTCCAGGTTCAGGCTGTCTGCAAGAGAGAGAGAAAGGGGGAGAGGGAGAGCGCTGGGGGGGGGGTGGAGGCACAGCCGGGGAGGAGGGGGCAGCGGGACCCCCACCCTCTCGCCCCCCCCCCCGCCCGCCCTTACCCTGGTCGAAGCTGAGCTTCTTGGCCGTCGGGGGGGGCGCCTCTCCCGCCAGCCCCTCGCCCTCCTCCCGGGGCGCGTCGGCGTCGTTGAGGGCGCTGAGGGTCAGGTCCGCCTTGGGCTTCTTGGCGGCGGGCGGCTCGGGCGGCGGGGCGGCGGGCGGGGGCGGCTTGCGGCCGGGGGGCTTCTTGGGGGAGTCGGCGGGGGGCGGCGGGGGCAGCCCGGAGTCCTCGTAAGCCTTGCGCTTGGCCGCCCCCTTCAGCTGAGCCCTGCGGGGGGGGAGGAGGAGGGGGGAGCGGTCAGCGGGGGGCGGGAGGAGGGGGAGCGGTCAGCGGGGGGGGGGGCGCTCGGGGGGCGGGGCGTGGGCGGGGCTTACACGGTGCGGTCCTTGATGAGGGCGCTGATGCGGTGCAGGTCGTCGCCGAAGCGCTGCACGGAGGCCCGCAGGAGGGCGATCTCGGCGTCCGTCCACTTGGCCCTGCGGGACGCGGACAGTCAGCGCCCCGGCCTCCCCTCCCCTCCCCTCCCTCCGCCCGCCCCCTCCGGGACCCCCGCTCACCCGGCCGGGCAGGAGTCGGCCACCGGGTGCAGCTGCATCGTCAGTTCGCCCAGCTTGGTGAAGGCGGCGCCGGCCGCGGAGAAGATCTCGCCCACCTGCGGTCGGGAAAGGCGGTCAGCCGGGGCGGCGGGCGCTCGGCGAGCCCTCAGAAGCGCCCCGGCCGCCCGGTACCTTGGTGGAGGCGGAGGTCATGGCGGCGGCGGCGGTTCCCTCGGCGGAGCGCCCGCACGCATGCGCTCTCCCGCCAGGGCGCTCCTTCGGGAAACTCTATGGTGCGAGGCGTCACGTGGGAAGCCCCCCCCGGTCCTGCGCCGGCCGCGGACGATGGGACCGAGGGCTCTTCGGCCTTTCTTGCGAGCGGCAACGGGGTCCGTCGGTCCGCCGAGAGGAACCCCGGCCCGCGTCGCTTCCCCCCCTCCGCAGGAGAAGGCAATTCTGCCAGGAAGAAACCCCCCCAGCCCCCCCTTCAGGAAACCCTCCGGCGGCCTCCCCCCCCTCTCCCCCGCAGGACCCCCCCCTGCCCCCCCCCTGGAAAGAAGAGCCGAAGAGCCAGATCCAAGGTTGTTTATTGCACACACGAGTCTTCCACGTACCGGAGCAGGGCTGCCTGCCCCATCCCGCCCCAGGGGCGGCCCTGAGCCTTTCCTTCCCCCGGGAGGAGGCACGCAGTGGGGCGCCCCATGCCAGCCCCTCCACCCCCACGCCCCCGGGTGACAGAGGCTTCCTTCGTGGCAGCCTCCGGGGAGCGGCCTGGGCAAAGCAGCATTGCGATCAGGACAAAACAGACGCACGAAGACGGCTCAAACCGGGGCGGGCTGGCTGCCGGCAAGCGGGGCAAATGGAGGCCCCACCTTGGAGCCCGGAAGGTTCCCAAAGAGGGGAGGGAGGGGGGGAGGGAGGGAGGGGGGCACCTCTGCTATTTACACAACATGGCACTTCTTCTGTTTTGGTCCAGCCCCAGGGCGAAAGAGGAAGGGCGGTGCCGACTGACCTCTCCCTTAGGGTGAAATGAAGGGAACCAAGGGCAGGGGGAGAAAAGGGGCTCCGCGCACCCACAAGAGCCCCGCCCAGGAGCCCCAGAGAGCAGCCTCCCTGCACGGGGGGGGGGAGGGAGTCTGTCAAAGGGGGGGGGGGGGGGAGGGGGGGGGGCTCCAGCGGGGGGGGGTGGGTGGGGGGCGTTAGCGGACCAGGTACTCCTTCCGTTTGTTGAGGCGCACTTGGCAGAAGCAGAAGCCCCCCAGGATGAAGTAGAGGCCGGCGGCGATGAAGCAGTTGTAGCTGACTTGGTCGTATAGCGCGTGGATGGCGGATACCCCGGACCTGTGGCCGAGAGGGGAGAAGGGGGCTCAGTGCCCTTGCCCCCCCCCCCCCCCCCCC